TAAAAAAATACAAAAAACTAGCCGGGCGAGGTGGCGGGCGCCTGTAGTCCCAGCTACTCGGGAGGCTGAGGCAGGAGAATGGCGTGAACCCGGGTGGCGGAGTTTGCAGTGAGCTGAGATCTGGCCACTGCACTCCAGCCTGGGCGACAGAGCGAGACTCCGTCTCAAAAAAACAAAAAAAAATTCAAGGCCAGGCGTGGTGGCTCACACCTGTAATCCCAGCACTTTGAGAGGCTGGGGTGGGCAGATTACAAGGTCAGGAGATCAAGACCATCCTGGCCAACATGGTGAAACTCTGTCTCTACTAAAAATACAAAAATTAGCTGGACATGGTGGCACGTGCCTGTAATCCCAGCTACCCGGGATGCTGAGGCAGGAGAATGGCTTGAACCAGGGAGGTGGAGGTTGCAGTGAGCCGAGATCGTGCCACTGCACTCCAGCCTGGGCAACAGAGTGAGACTCCGTCTCAAAGAAAAAGAAAAAGAAAAAAAAATTCAGGGCCAGGCACAGGGGCTCACACATACAATCCCAGCACTTTTCGGAGGCCAAGGCAGGCAGATCAGTTGAATCCAGGAGTTCAAGACCAATGTAACAAAACCCTATTGCTACATAAAAAATACAAGAATTAGCTGGGTATGGTGGTGTGTGCCTGTAGTCCCAGCTACTCAGAAGACTGACATGGGAGGATCACTTGAGCCTGGAAGGTGGAGGTTGCAGTGAGCAGAGATTACTCCACTGTACTGCTCTAGCCTTGGCGACAGAGCAAGACCCTGTCTCAAAAAAAAAAAAAAAAAAAAAAAATTTTTTTTAGAACAAGGATTTCTGTGTGATAAAAAAAGTCTATGAATTTTATGTGTTAGGAAACTAGCATGTCCCCAGCCTTCAGCTAGTATTTTTCCTTCCTTTCTACATAATCAACAGAGTCTTCATCCTGAATCTGTGATTTCTCATACCCACAACAATTTTGGAAAATCTTGGCAGGATCTAGAGAGCAAAATGGGCCCTGAGGACATGTGTATGCACAAAAACCCTTTCATTTCTTATTTTCTTGTCCTCCTTCTAACTTCCCCTCCACTGCCAGGGAAAGTAACTACGAAGCTCAGTCTTGCGGCTATTTTCAGTTTGTTTCAGATAGAGATAAAATCTTATTATAATATCTATGATCTGTCTAGCCTCTTTCACCGTTACCCACCTCTTCTATGTCGTCACTATATGACTCCATTACAATTGTGTCTTGTTTTTTATCCCTAAGTTAGATTAACTTGGCCTAGATCCTTTACAGTCCTAGGATCAGGAAAACACCTTCATCCCTATTCAGTTAACTTAAACCAAGAATATGTTTATGGTCCCTCTTTTGTATAATTTGGAATTGGTAAATTGGTGGTCACCCAATATTGTTTTCCCTTGATATATCCTGAGACCTTACTGCCTTGAAACATCTAAGGGTAAATCTGGAAAACTACTATGCTGGCCAGATGGAGTTATCTATGGGAAAATAAGGCTTACATAAGATGGAGAAAATCCTTGATTCTTTCCCAAAACCATGCCAGAAAAAAGCTATAAATCCACACTAAGGACCACAAAGGCAGAAGCTTTCTCAGACACTTATAAAAAGCCCCTATGAAGATACCCTTGGCAATCTGGAAGTACAGACCATGATCCTTCCCCTACATCATTTTGGGGAAATAACTAACTAATGACCAAAAAAAAAAAAAAAAAAAAAAAGAAATCCTGGCCTGCAAAACTACAGGTTGAAAGGAGGTTAAATGTGTAGATCTGAAGAGTTTCCCTGTGGGATTATTAGAAAATAAAATGCTCCCAGAAAGAAACACTGTCAGCCAATGTTCAGTCAGCTCAGCACTTAGATTATCTTTGGTGTGCAAGTAAACAGACTTGAAATTGCTTTTGAAATCTCTCCAAGACTGTCCATCCCACTCAGTCTTTTATGTCACCATCTAGTGAGTTGTGAAAAACTCCAATTTTCCTTAAATGTAGTTACGTAAGGCTAAAATGCAAGGCATTTTCCATGATCACACTTCACCTTGCCACTTATGATACATGTTTGGCAGTAACCCTTTCCTGATGGGATATACCAAACACAACCAAAACTTTATGGGGAAAATACCCATCTCAGAAGACTTAAAAAGGAAAGACCTTGAGAATTAAAACATTGCCTTATGAGGGAAACAAAGCAAGCTTGTGTCACAAGTTGAACTTTACAAAGAAAAAAAAAATGTAACCAGGCACCTCTGTTGCACAATGAATAGAGTTAATGTTTCTAGCCAACTCTTCATTGTCCATTCCCACCTCAATGACATCCCTGTACATTTTTAGCACAACCTACTGCCAAATGGACCCTCTCTTTATAGAGCAGGATAATGATGGTGAATAGCATTTGGAGTAGAAATAAAACAGCAGATAATAATCCATAATTGTTTTTAATCTTGAGGATGAGTCACCCTCAATTTATTTCCAAATTTCTTCTGTCATCAGCTGTTCATTTCTTTACTTTGAAAATCACCAGATTAACACTGCCAAAGGCAGGAGGTAGGAAATGATCCAAGAGGACAAGTCAGAGGTATCACATGGTGAGTGGCTGAGAAACTGGGAACAAGACAACCCTCAGGAAAGTCTCTTTTTTGTCCCAGCAGAGGCACCAATGTGTGAACCTAATTCACACTTTCATTATTCTAATCAGGTTATTTTTATATCAGTGTAATTTTAGAACAAGACTTGCTAGGGGATTATTTATTTCTTGGGAAATTCTGTCCATCACTCCGCATATCCAAGGTCTAGCGCCAGAATTCATTTCAAGCCAACAAATTATATTCCTATTACCTCTCCTTTTTAATACTTTCACATGCCTTCTTTATTCCCTGAATCTTCCTTTTGTACAAGGAATTTCAAAACAGAATGACCAAACAGACTTTCTAACATCACAGTTGTAAGAGATGTGATCTAGTTGAATGTGAGATGTCTGAACCTGGGTGAATCCGCATTGCTCATCAATCTCTCTCAGTCCTTAGATGGCCTGTAAAGCATAAGCTTGCTATTTTATCTATATTCAAATTGCCTTTTTTAAGCTGATTGGGTTCTTAAACCCATTTAGCCTCTAACTCCGACTCAGGATTGGAAATAGGAAACTGGAGTCCAGATGTTCTCCCTAGGATTTAGGTCCAAGTCACAGTCCAATTATTGCAGACAGGCTAAAGATGGAGGTTTCTGACTGTCTTTAAAATATCCTCTTAAAAGCACAAAGCTGGAGACTGGGATTAGTAGCCATTTACTGTCAGAAGACCATTCCCCAACTGAAATTCTCTCTTCACATTTGCCTCAGATTATGCCTATATAGGCAACAAAGTAGAAAACCTAAAATGCCACCCAGATAATCCAGAACAAGTAAATACTGTTTTTTTTTTTTTTTTTTTTTCTGAGACGGAGTCTTGCACAGGCTGGAGTGCAATGGCATGATCTTGGCTCACTGCAAACTCTGCCTCCTGGGTTTAAGCGATTCTCCTGCCTCAGCCTCCTGAGTAGCTGGGATTACAGGCGCATGCCACCATGCCCAGCTAATTTTTGTATTTTTTAGTAGAGATGGGGTTTCACCATATTGGTCAGGCTGGTGTCAAACTCCTGACCTCACCTGATCTGCCCGCCTTGGCCTCCCAAAGTGCTGGGATTGTGGGATTACAGGCGTGAGCCACCGCACCCGGCCTATGTAAATATTGTTTTCATCTGAAATCTGCAGATAATTGAAACCAAAAAAGTGTTTTGACTATATGCTGTTTTCCCCTTTACTATGACTTTTTTTTTTTTTTCGAGAAAGAGTCTTGCTCTGCCACTCAGGCTGGAGTGCAGTGGCATGATCTCAGCTCACTGTAACCTCTGACTCCTGGATTCTCCTGCCTCAGCATCCCAAGTAGCTGGGATTTCAGGTGTGTACCACCACGCCCGGCTAATTTTTTTTTTCCGGAGACGGAGTTTCACTCTTGTTGCCCAGGCTGAGTGCAATGGCACGATCTTGGCTCACCGCAACCTCCGCCTCCCAGGTTCAAGTGATTATCCTGCCTCAGCCTCCCAAGCAGCTGGGATTACAGGCACCTGCCACTTTTTAGTAGAGACAGGGTCTCGCCATGTTGGCCAGGCTAGTCTTGAATTCCTGACCTCAGGTGATCCACCCGCCTCGGCCTCTCAAAGTGCTGGGATTACAGGCATGAGCCACCGTGCCCGGCCGCTAATTTTTGTATTTTTAGTAGAGACGGGGTTTCACCATGTTGGCCAGGCTGGTCTTGAACTCCTGACCTTTACTATGACTTCGTAGGCACAATCATAAATGTTTGCAACCACTGAGCTTTCAAATTAGTGGTACTCAACCTGGAGTTCACTGCACAGTAGGTAACCGCTGTCTTGGTTTCGGTTTAATGCATTTGCAAATGAATCAAGATATTCCGGCATAGCCCCAACCTTACCAAAACACACAGATTAAATGTCAGTTTATGACAAGTATCTGAATACTCAGTCATGCTAGATGATGGAACTGTGTAGAAGGTGATGAGGAAGAAAGTCTGTCACAACTCCTGGGAAGTCTCCCTCCTCTCCACCTTCTATATTAGCTAAAATGAGTGAGCATTAACTCCTGACGAATACGGTCAGCCTCTAAGTCCAGGGACTCCATGTGCTCATACTCTTCTTCAGGGGGCTGTTCCATGGGTCCTGTCATTGGAGAGGACCAAACATCCATCCCATGCTCCAGGGAGATGTTGTGGAGAACACAACAGGCCAAGATGATGTGGCTGGATTTCTCTGGTGAGTACTGCAGTGCCCCCTTGGATCCATCCAGGCAGCGGAATCGGGAGCAGAGGGTTCGGAAAGTCTTCTCAATCACACTGTGAGTTGCAGAATGGGCCATATTATAGCGATATTCTGCTGGAGTTTCAGGAATGTGAAGTGGGGTCATGAGCCAGGTTCGAAGAAAGAAGGAACTGTCACCTGTGGGGAAGGCCCAAAGAAATCATAAGTGACTATAAGTGGAATACAAACAGGAAGCAAAATTCAGAAAACATATACTGACAATGGACAAGAAAATACAACAGCCTCTGGTGCCAAAGCACACTAGAAAAACCAAGCAGAAAAAAGAAATCATGCCAATGCCAGGAGCAGAAAGACACGAGTTCTGGCTGAGAATATTGTTGGTAAAAATTGACAGAGAAAAACGCTGGCACCTAAAGGAAGCCAAATATGAAAGAATGTAGAAAGGAGGTGAAGGCACTGGAGGAAATAAAATTCCTGCATTTGGCCGGGCATGGTGACTCACGCCTGTAATCCCAGCACTTTGGGAGGCCAAGGCGGGTAGATCACCACCTGAGGTCAGGAGTTCAAGACCAGCCTGACCAATATGGGAGGTGGAGGTTGCAGTGAGCCACAATCACGCCACTGTACTCCAACCCGGGCAACAAGCGCGAAACTCCATCTCAAATAAAATAAAATTCCTGCATTTTCCTAATATTGTTATTTAATAAAAGGCTTAATAAAACCAAATAAAATCAAATAGCATGCCAATCTTTAAAATCTCTAAAGAGCAAGAATGAAATTCGGCCGAGAGATCCCAAAACACTTGTGAGGGAAAGTCTTAACTTTACCCTCAAAATTTCAAGTCTAAAAGCACTACCAAGGGATTTCAGGTGATTTCATGGACTATAGTAATTTATTCTCCCAGTGCTGGGAAGAATAAGATAAAAGTCCGAGCACTTATGGCAGAGATCAGAACTCAGGTGTTCTGCCTTCCTATATATCACAATTACTAGAACCATGCCTTTGTAAGAGGAAGAATTTCACACGAACAAAGAGAGCATACATTTAATCATGCAAATAGTAACAGTGATAAGGAAATGAATTCAGAAGTCAATTAAAAAAATACACACAAGGCATTCTCCTTAAGTGACTTCTTTATCAAATGATCCCAGGAAGTGCTAACAAAACAACAACAAAAAACTGGGGTGCAATGTCCTGATACAACAACACAATGTTAGTATAATGTTTTTTTGTCCTGACTCACTGTCACTACATCTGGCAGATGAGATGTCCCAAATAGAGGCAAAACCTCTTAGAAATTTGAGAGACAAATAGCCCCTGGAGTACCAGTTTGCATACCACTGTGTTCCGGCCCCATCATCAATTTCAGTAAATCGTTCTGGACTGTTCAGACAGCGGTAGGCACTGTTCCCAACATACAGGGCTCATTTCTTTTAGGCGCTTACATTTATTTTTTTGAAGACAGAGTTTTGCTCTGCCACCCAGGCAGGAATGCAGTGGAGTGATAACAGTTCACTGCAGCTTCAACCTTCCAGCCTCCTACCTCAGCCTTCCGAATATCTGGGACCACGGGCATGTGCCACCACGCCTGGCAAATTTTTTTAATGTTTTCTAAAGAGGAGGTCTCACGATGTTACCCAGGCTGGTCTTTAAGTCCTGTGCCCAAGCAATCCACCCACCTTGACCTCGCAAAGCCCTGGGATTACAGCCCCTAGCAGGAGCTTACATTTCTAAGAAATGGATTAACTGTAAATATCTAAGAAGTCTCACAGAATTTTCAAATTTACTGTTTAGCTCACTTTTCCCCTCCCAGGTATAACTTTTTATTTTTATTTTTTTTTAGACCGAGTCTGCTCTGTTGCCCAGGCTGGAGTGCAGTGGTGCAATCTCAGTTCACTACCACCTCTGCCTCCCAGGTTTAAGCGATTCTCCTGCCTCAGCCTCCTGAGTAGCTGGGACTACAGGCACGTGCCACCACGTCCGGCTAATTTTTTGTGTTTTTAGTAGAGACAGGGTTTCACCATTTTGGTCAGGCTGGTCTCAATCTCCTGACCTCGTGATCTGCCCGCCTCGGCCTCCCAAAGTGCTAGGATTCCAGACGTGAGCCACCGCGCCTAGCCTTTTTTTTTTTTTTTTTTTT